CACCGCTTAGAGGGGGCATTGCCTGGATGTTACACCTCATGGGAAAATACATCAACTAGGCTTGCTTGCTAAGCTGAATCATCACAGTGAGAAATACAAGCTGCCTGCTAGCTTTACCTGATGGATCATCACTTGGGAAATGTACAATAGGTTGCTGCATTGTTCGGTACAAATAACTGTACATTGGTATTTATCCTCCATCAGGAAGAAGACAGTTGGACTCTTCATGTTATATAACTTAGTTTGAAAGTGTTTGAAATGTGATGTTGTAGTTTGAAAGTGTTTACAATACACTAGAGTTGATGTTGTGTATAAAAAGCAAATATATTTAGCTAAAAGTACATGTGAATATTGTGTTTATTATTTCAACACGGTGTTTTCTGTGTTTATCTACCTCCTGGATGTTGGCAACTCTGGTTTATACCCAGAATTCAACTCCGTTGGTCTTAAAGGTGCCACTGGACTCAAATTTTATACGTAATGTTTTGAAGCATCTCTTGCCCTGAGAAAACAGGGCCTTGGGTAGGTCTCTAGAAGCACTCTGAGAGGCTCAGAAGTATCACAACCCACGGAATAATTTTTCTTACTTAGGACCAAACAAATGGCACTTAACAGCTTTCGAGTGCTCCAGATCTCTTCCCCTGCTTGGAAGTTTGTTTATGCTCAGAGGCATTGTCAACCAGCGGAGAACTAGGATTAACATCAAAAGGGCACCTATTCCTAGGGTTGCCAGGTCCCCACTGGCCACCAGCTGGGGATTGGGGGGGGTGTAGGATTGCCAAATCCAGGTTGGGAAACTCCTGGAGATTTAGGAATGGAGCCTGGGGAGGACAGGACCTCAGCAAGATATAATTCCATAGAGCATCTTCCAAAGCATCCATTTTCTCCAGGGAAACTGATCTTTGTGGTCTGGATATGAGGTGTAATTCCAGGGGATCCCCAGGTCCCACCTGGAGCGTGAGGACTGGCATCCCACCAAGTGTGGAGGCAGAGCACAAAGGATAGGACTGGCATCCCACCAAGTGTGGAGGCAGAGCACAAAGGATAGCATTCACCAAAGTTCAAGGAGGATGCTAAGCCTGTGGGACTCACTCTGCAACCCACAAGAGCCATCAGCCCAAAAGAACCCCATGACTATTTATTCAATTTTTTTTAACGTCGCCACTCACCCAAAGGGTGTCATAGTGACTTATTTATTTTATTTATTTCATTCAGCTTATATACTGCTCTTTCCCGAAGGCTCGGAGCAGTTTACAGAGAAGCAATCAACATTTCTAACTAGGGCGACATAGTACAGGGGGGAGGTGAATGCCTACCGGGCACCCGAGCAGGGTGTGTTGTTGCTGCTTTGTTTTGTTTTGTTTTGTTGTTCTTCGTCTCTGTTTCATGGTGGGTTCGTTCTACTTCGAGTTGATGGTGTCTCGGCTGGATCTTCTTCCGGCAGCGACTCCTACTGGGTGGACCTTCCTGGTGCGCGGCTATGCCTTACAACATTAAAGCCAATAAGGTAAAAACAACAGAAAAACAAATAACGAATATAAAATATTAACATTAAAATATTAAAACATTAAAATATATGGCCCCCAGCATACCACTATTAAAACAGCCCAAACACGTGGTTATCCTCCAAAGGCCAATCTAAATCAGCTTTGCATGCCCTGCGAAAACTAAAGAGTCTGGCAGGGCACAGGTGTCATCTGAGAGTGCATTCCAAAGGGAAGGGGCCAAAACTGAAAAGGCCCTTCCCCTGGTGACAGCTAAGCAAGCCACCCTGGGGCCAGGCACCTGCAAGAGGCCCCTTGGCAATGACCAAAGGGACAAAGGGAGGGGCAGTCTCATAGGTATGCGGGTCCCAGACCATTAAGGGCTTTGAAGGTTAACACCAACACCTTGAATCGGATCCAGAGGCTAACTGGTAGCCAGGGGAGCTGCCGCAGAATTGGAATAATATAAGCCTACCACCATAATGTTCCAGTCAGCAACCTGGCAGCTGCATTCTGGACCACCTGCAGTTTCTGAAGCGTTTTCAAGGGTAGCCCTATGTAGAGCGAATTGCAGTAGTCCAATCTGGAGGTGACCATTGCATGGATCAGTGTGACAATGTCTGACCCAGGCAAATAAAGGAGCCAGCTGGTGGGCCTGGCGCAGGTGGGAAAATGATGACCACACCACCATGGACACTCGTTTATCCAATGATAACGCAGAATCCAACCACACCCTGAGATTCTTTACAGAGTCTACAGCTGTCAACTGGACACCATTGAGTCTTGGGAGTGACCCCCTGGCTAGCATTTCCCTCTTTCCCAGCCACATGACCTCCATCTTGGATGGATTCAGCTTCAGCCAGCTCCCACTTAACCACTGGACTACCGCATCCAGCACTGGGATTGTACCAAGAGCCCTGTTGCTGGCTGCTTATCCGGCAGGAGGAAAAGCTGGGTGTCGTCGGCATATTGATGGCACCCAACTCCAAACCTTCTGAGGATTTCAGTGAGAGGGTGCATATATGTGTTAAATAACATCAAAGAGAGAATTGCACCCTGTGGGACCCCACAATTCAGGTCTCCTTGGGAAGATCTCTCCTTCCCAATAGCAACCCTCTGAGAGCATCCCTGGAGGAATGAGGAGAACCAACTACGGGCGGTGCCCCTTACCCCCAGGGAGGCAAGGACATCAATCAGGATCAAATAGTCAACTGTATCGAAGGCTGTTGATAGATCCAAAAGGATCAACAGGGCCAGCGTGCCTTTATCCAGATGTAAATGGAGATAGTCAACCAAAGCAACCAGTGCTGTCTTGGTCCCAAAGCCAGGGGAGGAGGAGGAGGAGGAGGAGGAAAAGGAGATTGGATTTATACTCCACCCTTTACTCGGAGTCTCAGAGTGGCTTACAAACTCCTTTCCCTTCTCCTCCTCACAAAAGACACCCTGTGTGGTAGGTGGGACTGAGAGAACTCTGACAGAAACTGCTCTTTTTCAATAACATCTCTGACAGAACTATGGCTTGCCCAAGGTCATCCAGCCAGCTGCAAGTGGAGGAGTGGGGAATCAAACCCGGTTCTCCCAGATTAGAGTCCGCGCACTTAACCACTATACCAAACTGGCTCTCTGAAAAGCCCAACTGAAAGGGGTCCAGGGCAGATGTCTCATCCAGGAAAACGTGGAGCTGTGCAGCTACTGGTCGCTCAATTACCTTCCCCAGAAAAGGTAGATTAGACACTGGATGGTAATTGGCCGGCTCCTTTTTATCTAAGGCGGGTTTCTTTAACAAAGTTCTTATTCTGGGCTCTAGACCAGAGAGGATTAAATCTATTTTACCAGATAGTGCCAACTCACAGTCCAAGAAAGTCGCAAAATTGATTCTTATTCTACTGCAGAAAAGTTCAGAGGTTAGAACTCATGTTCCTTCAGTAGGCAGTTCATCTGCTACATTTTCCGCTGGGGCCAGTACAGGTCTAATAATCGCCTTCTTAAGGGAGCTGGGGAAGCAGCCCTGTGAAAGGCAAATTAATCATCTGCCTCAAAGGCCACTTACCACTTGGTGGCATGATTTTACCAGCCACAAGGGACAAGGATCCAATAAGCAGGTAGTCGGCTTCACAGCTGTCAGGATCCACAAGGGTTAGCAGGCCAAAAGACTCCAAAAAAGAACCAGACTGTACAAGCGGCGCCTGCATCCTACTATTGTTATCAAATTCAGCCGCCAACTCCAGGAGGCACTTAGAGACTTTATCCACAAAATCTTTTGCAAATGAATCACAGGTGAGAGCCAAATCAGTATCAGAATATACCAAGTAAAGGCAAAGGTTTCCCTTGCTCGAAAGCCAGTCGAATCCGACTCTGGGGGGCAGTGCTCATCTCCGTTTCCAAGCCAAAGAGCAAGCAGTGTCCGAAGACATTTCTGTGGTCATGTGGCCAGCATGACTAAACACGAAGGTGCATGGAACACTGTTACCTTCCCACCAAAGTGGTACCTATTTATCTACTTGCAATGTCTTGCTTTTGAACTGCTACGGTAGTTTGGAAGGAGCTGGGGCCAGAGATGGGAGCTCACTCCGTCCTGCGGCACTCGGGTCTCGAACTGCCGAACCACGGACCTTCTGGTCTGCAGCTCAGCAACCTCTGAGCCACTGCAGCTCCTAGAACACACCAAAGGGGTGGTCAATTGTCGAACCAATCTGAATAACTGAGCTGCTTGCAAGCTAGTGGATGCAATGGAGGCAGCGAAATCATCTCTTTTCACCGCTTTCACTGCCACCTCATAGGCCTTCAATTGGGTCTCTCACAGCTTCATCCTGTGTCCATCTCCAATTCCGCTCTAGCTGTCTGAGCAACCTCTTAAAATCTCTTAAGACTCTCATTATACCAAGGAGCCACACAGAGACAGGAGGGCACAGAAGGTGTCGGGGAGCAATCCGATCAATAGCTTCCTGAAGACCTCTATTCCAAATCTCAGTCAGATTCAGATAAATCCTGCAGAGCGTTTTGGAAGCCATGAGGATCCATTAGTCTCCACGGAGCAAATATAAATACCCTCATTGCCCCTGCAGGGGGGAATGGCCATCCCCAAACTGACCCTTACAAGGAAGTGCTAACCATGGCACTGGTTCACAAACAACCACACTATTCAGATCAAGCCCTGTACAAAAGATTGGCCTGCTTCATGTGTGGAGGTTGATATGACTTGGGAGAGTCCCATTGTTGCCATGGCAGCCATGAAGTCTGGACAAACACTTGTCAGGGATGCTCTGGGCTGATCGTAGACTAGATGGCCGGTATGGCCCCTTCCAAATCTGTGATTCTATGATCCTGGAATACTAAATTCCACGCCGAGCAGCACCTGAGAACTTTGTCTGGCAACAGAATTAGGTCTTCTAAGTTGAAATCAGTTGAGCTCCTTAATTGCTCTTGCCAGGCTTGTAGAATATTATTAACACTAGCTCGCCACCTAGTGGTGCATAACGCTAAAGGGCTTCTGGTTGCCAGACGATCTTAGGCTCTCCTGGCTATTCTACACACAATGCCATATGATAATCATAATAATACTAATTATTAGAGTATTATTAACATTTGACTGCCCAGGTATCCCCTCATTGTTAATCTGACAGAAAGACTTCCTAAATTCAAAGGGAATTTTCCCAATAGGGGTTTTTATGAACACAAGACAATCTCTTTTAACCAGAAAACTTCAGTCTTGCAGCCGAAGATAAGCACCTGAAAGGAGGACCAGCTAGCACTTCAGACCATACGTTAAACCCCCTTCCTGTATGTAATGCTTGAGGAAGTCCGTCTCAGTGTATCTGAAGAAGTATGCGTGCACACCAAAGCTTATGCCCAGAATTAAACTCTGTGGTCTTAAAGGTGCCCTGGACTCAAACTTTGTTCTGTTGCTTCAGACCAACATGGCGACCCACCTGAAACATTTTTTGTAAGAAGGGTCTCACACACACACACTCACCATTTCATCCTCACAGCAGCCCTGTAAGGTACATTAGTTTCAGAAAATGATTTGCCAAAATTCAAACTGTGAGTTTCCAGGCCAAGTGCGGATTAGAACCCAGATCTACCCAGTCACAATCCAACTCTCTGGCCCTTGAATTTACCCAGGGAGCTTCTAGGCAAAGGGAGATCCACTCTAAGAAAGGTTTCCAAAGGATCTCCTGCTCAGCCTCCAGAATAGATCTTCAAGACAAGACTGTTGAAAGCAGTTAGGGTGCGGTCAGACACGCTGTTTGATCTGGTGTTGTGACCCGTTATGCTTCAGAAACGGGTTTCATAGGCACGTTCACACATCAACATCTGCACACCATCCCCAACCATCGCTTTCCTGCTCAAAACCCCCTTTAAACCGGATTATTTTGCTACCAGGTCCCCAAGTGGTGTTTTCCTGATTCTCCGGTTCCAGTCGCACTTTTCTGACATCTGATCGCTCCTGCAGTGTCGAGCCGCTTCCAGGTGCCTCAACCCCCTCCCCTCTAGAAAGCTGCCCAAGGCTACCGTTTTTCGCCCGCCATTTTTTTAATGCGTTGGCAGTGTGCACATAGGCGGAGCTCCGCCATGTTTAGAAAACTGACATTTAAACGGTCACTTATTTTAGCGTTTAGATGAGTTCGGGATCTCACAGAGGCCATTTTCAGGTCAAACGTTTAAACGGAAGTCTTTTGTTGGAGGGGCTGGATTGATTCGCCCTGGTGGTTCTGTGCATGCGCCATGATAGTCCCCCCCTTCTATGGAGGGGTGCCTATGCGCATGCGCAAACTGAGGGGAATTTTTTTAAAAAACCTGCCTACACACACTCCCACTACATTGGTAGTGTAGAGGCCAGGGAGCGACGTGACTGCGCTGTGAAGCAGGATAAGGGAGGTAAGTGTGATCGCGATTATCCAGATCAAATATAATCCAGTTAGAACCAGAGCAGTTTAACCCGCTCTCAGCATGCCATCTGACCGCACCCTTAAACTGTCAAAAAAAACCCCCAACACAACAAGATGAAAGCAGAACCCAAAGAATACTCAGATGTGCCTCAACTCCACACACAATTCCTAGGCTAGGGTGGGACTTAGATAACCATTACAGCTGTTCCCCTCCCTATTAAACACGCAAGCTAATAATAATCTGCGTGCGTCTCCTTGCTCCAGTGTCCCAAGCCCACTCACAGGCAGGAGGCACTTAAATATCCATTACAGCTTCCCTCATGATTAAAGATATAACCTAATATTTAGGAAGGCAGGTGATCTCTCTACCCAAAAGATTTCTACTTGCGTTTTGTATTCAGAAGACATGTCTTTGGCAGCTGCGTAGTAGGATTCAGGGCATCCTAGGCCCAAACTCTCTGTGATGGGCCTATTGGCCTGTCCTGTCAAGAGGCACAAGGATGCCAGCCTCCAGGTGGGACCTCCAGGTGGGAATTTTCCCAGCATGGGTTTTTATGAACACAAGACAATCTCTTTTAACCAGAAAACTCCATGCCTCTTCAGTCTTGCAGCCGAAGATAAGCACCTGAAGGGAGGACCAGCTAGAACTTCAGACCATACGTTAAACCCCCTTCCTGTATGTAATGCTTGAGGAAATCCGTCTCAGTGTATCTGAAGAAGTATGCGTGCACACCAAAGCTTATGCCCAGAATTAAACTCTGTTGGTCTTAAAGGTGCCCTGGACTCAAACTTTGTTCTGTTGCTTCATATCAACATGGCGACCCACCTGAAACATTTTTTGCAAGAAGGGTCTCACACTCTAATCTGGGAGAACCAGGTTTGATTTCCCACTCCTCCACATACAGCTGCTGGTGTGACCTTAGGCCAGTTACAAGTTCATTCAGAGCTGTTCTCTCATGAGCAGTTCTCGAGAGAGCTCTCTCAGCCTCACCTACCTCACAGGGTGTCTGTTGTGGGGAGGGGAAGGGAAAGGAGATTGTGAGAATCCTTCAGGTACTGAAGGGCGGGGTATAAATCCAATTTCTTCTTCTTCGTGGGACAACTTCATACTCCTGAGCTAGGAGTGGGTGAGCGAGAGAGTCTCTTCCTCCTCACACCTGGGCCAGGCTCATCAAAGGAGGACAGGAGAAGGTAAGTCAACGGGGCAAGGGGGTTGTGGGATGGAAGCAAACCCCCCACCTTGCTCCTGGGTTCAAATAAAAGATATTTCATGATTTGGGGTGGGTTTTGTTCACATCTATGGGAGGAAGAAATAAGGAGTAAACAAAGGCAGAAAAACAGAATGACAAACAGAGAAACTATGCAGTAAGAACTGGACAGCAGATACAGCAAACACTTCACTAGACCACAATCCTGCTTTGTTTTCATACAATCTCTGAACAGGCCTGCAGGTATATGGGTCCCAAGCCAATCAAGGCTTTTTAGGTGAAAACTAGAACCCTGAACAGAACTTGGTAACTGATTGGTAGCCAATGGAGTGTTTATGGAATGAGTTTGACCCGCATGTTCCGCCTGGTGCTCAACAGTGACCAATAGGAGTTTGTTCTTTAAGGGCAGACCCTTGTGGAGTGCATTACAGTAGTCTAACCTTGAAATTATCTGGAAAACATTCATTACAATGTGGAAACTGCCAAACAATATTATACTGGCAATGGCACCAATTCAGTTTTATTAATTTTAGCAAACAATGAATCTTTAGAGACGTATAATTTTTAGTGGTAAAGGAAATGAAGCCCTGGGAAATTCCCTGCCCCACATCTCTGCTCTCAGCCTTCTTGAAAGGTACGATCCAAATCCTTGTTGAAGTCTTTGACTTCCATGCGCTTAGCAGGGTGTGGTTCTGCTCAGCCTTGTGCTCTGATTGTTCCCACTCTGGTGTAAACCACAGAGCCATGGTCCTGTTTAGAGGGAGGAGAGGGCAGTAGAGAGAAATCCTGCCCCATGTCTCCAGGAGCCTCTCATTCCAGGCCTGGAGATACCACTGAGACTCTCCAGAACTCACACCATGGAGGACAAGATGGAGCCCTCTGGGACCCTGTGGCACACGGCAAACCAGTGTCCTCCGCATCACTCCTGGGACCAATTGGCCGGGCAGAACTGGAAGTACCACAGGATGGTGTCCCCAGTCTCCATCTTTGTTACTTGGTACAGAAGGATACCATGGTCTGTGTTACAGTATCAATGGAAAGTCAGCAGGGACACTCTACCGGAGCCCAACAAATCCCAGGCGCCAGGGTACCATGGCCCCTACACATTTCACTGTGGTGCCTAATATGTTTTAAATCAACAATTTATTGCAAGTGCCTCTCAGTGATTCTCAGTAGAAGTACAGTGTTTAATTAGATCCAGGTGGGCAGCCATGTTGATCTGAAGTAGTAGAACAAAGTTTGAGTCTAGTGACACCTTTAAGACCCAACAGAGTTTTCTTCAAGGTATGCTAATATTCCTAATAGTTAATTAATAATAATACCTAAAGGTGCCACTGGACTCACACTTTGTTTTGCTGCTTCAGACCAACATGGCTACCCCACCTGAATCCTTCTACAGTGTTCAATTAGCTAAAGGACAGAGTTTAGCTTTTTGTTGTGATGGCCACAGGGGTCACCCCATACCCATTTATCTACTACAACACTCTTGTTACATCTTTAAAGAAAATGAGGAACTGTGAAGAGTTTAGGATGAGGATTTGTGGTAGCAATAACGGGAAAGTGTGGTCATAAAAACATAACACTCAGAAGGCTGAGAAATAACTCCGGCTCCTAAAGCTAGAGAATCTTTGTCAAGGCCTGCTCTCTTCCCCCTCTCCCTCTCCCAGAGCAGGTTTTCCCCTCACAGCCACTAAAGCTGTTGTGGTTCCAAAACCTTGCCTGAAACATGCATTGAGAAGAAGCCCATGTTCAGATTTCAGACCTAGGGCTTAGTGCCAGTTTCTCCTGTGAAATGGGCAATTTGCACTGCTTGCTGTCAATAAAAGGAGAATTTAGAAGTATGGCTTGGGTGTTCCCACACCAACCAAAAAGCTGTTATTTGGCCTGCCATTTACCACCAAAATCCTGAGATTTCTGTACTTATCAATCCATTGCACATAAGAAGAGTCTCACCCCAGATGAATACTATTTAATCCTCACAGCTATCCTGTAAAGCATCCTGGGGCTCAAAAAGTGCCTGGCCAAAAATCAGCCAGTGAGCTTTCAGGCCAAGTGTGGATTTGGACTCAGATCCACTCAGTTATAACCCAACATTCTGGATCTTGAACTTAATATCTGGGGATCAGTTGTAGCAAAAGGTGCCAGTCTCAAGGGCGTGCCAGAGAGGTTCTTTCTTACAGCTTTACAGACAGTGTTTAAAACCTCCCAAAGCACTTCCGCTGGACTAACATTTTAAACGTTTCCTTTCATTCCAGTTTGTAGAAAAATCCCACAAAAACACAGAAAAGGGCATTTTACGTCTCCTTCCTGATGCTGTCAGGAGACTCAAGGGGAAATTGTATTTTACAACATTCATCTCCCAAATTCCAACTGTAAGGATATCCACTCAACTCCAAGGATGCTGTGTGTTGTTAAGGGCCCCTTTGGATTTATCGAGTTTTCCTTTTCAATCTGAATTAATCCCACAGGTGAGTCTCTGAAAAAGTCACAATCCTTTGGATTGTGGGGATGCTTCTTAGGCCTACTTGCCAGATGGAACCATTTGTAAATTAGGAAAGTCAGCTATTCACACTGTCTTACATCACACACAGACAGGCTGTAGATATCAGCTTCTCTATTTCTTCACAGGATTTTGCAAATGGAAATGTTGTTAGTTCTTCAGATTAATTTTTCAGAGAGAAGGACAACTGAAAAGGCCCTTCTTTGTTGAAAGTATGTTCTGAACTCTCCATACCTCAGCAACTGAAGAAGAGCCTCATCAGAACCACCTATAGGAAAGTTTTATCATCTGAGGAACATGAAGGTCTGAAATCAGCCTCTTGCCACACACTGAACACTTCTGAGGTTTCTCCTGTGTGTGGATTCCTCAGAGCTTAAGAAGTGCAGAGCTGGTCTTGAATCTCCCTTCCACTCTCAGAATACATCTTTGCTTTCTTCTTGTGTGATCAGTTCACATTTCAGTCATGGTTAAAACTCTTTCCACCATCTGAGTATTTATACCATTTCTCCCTGAGTTGATTTTTTTTTTTTTTTGGCATCTACAGGTATGGTAAAGTTTCTGTGCAGATGCAAGATCTTTCCAAGACTTTATTTTTTTTCAACCTGTGGGGACTCTGTAGTTGTCTTTAAGGTGTGAAATAGGAGAGACGCTCTAGTAATAGGCAAAACAGCTATGTGGTTTCTTCCCATGTGGATTCTTTGATGTTGTTGAAGGCTGGATTTTTGAATGAACCTCTTTCCACACTCTGAGCATGCAAAAGGTTTCTCCCCTGTGTGGGTTCTTTGATGTCGCTGAAGATTGCCATTCCAGCTGAAGCTCATTCCGCACTCTGAACATTCAAAAGGCTTCTCTTCTGTGTGGGTTCTCAGATGCTGTTGAAGATGGCAAGTACGACTGAATCTCTTTCCACACTCTGAGCACTGAAAAGGTTTCTCCCCTGTATGGATTCTTCGATGCCGCTGAAGTTCGCTATACCAACCAAAGCACTTTCCACACTCTAAGCATTTATATGGCTTCTCTCCTGAATGAATTCTTTGGTGTTGAATAAGGTTTGCTTTCTGTGAATAGCTCTTACCACATTCTAAGCAGCTGTAAGGTTTCTCTCCTGTGTGGATTCGGTGATGTCTAAGGAGCTCTGCTCTGCAAAGAAAACTCCTTCCACATGCCAAGCATTGATGGGTCTTCTTTCCATTGTGCATTTGCAAATGAATATTATATAGAGTTTGATCTGAGAAGTTCATTCCACACTCCAAGCACTTGTATGTTTCCTCCACTATGTGAAGTATGTCACAGAAATTCCCTGCTCTCATGGAAATCGCCTGCTCATCCCTCTTGTCATCCATGTGGCATCTCTCCTGCCTCTTTGGTTCATCTTGATTCCTGAAGTTTCCATTCAACTCTTCAGGCTTGGCTTTATCTGGAGATAATTGAAGCAGTTCTTCATATTCCTCGTTCTCCTGATCTTCCCCTGTGGGAATAAAGAGAGAGATCCCGTTAGCACCCAAGCAAGGAGGTCATATCTCCACCTGAAGTTTTTTCCACACTCAACATGTTGCAGTGGCTTCTTCTTGTTGTACATTAAATGTACATTAAAGCCTGCTGCATCAGAGAAGATCATTCCACACTCTTGAGTATTTTATATGGCTTCTCACCCAAATGAGTTCTTTGATATGAAGTAAGGGTTGTTAGACAGCTGAAGTGCCTTCTGCACTCCAAGCAGCTACATGGTTTCTCTCCCATGCAGATTTGTTCCTGGGAAACAACATTCATTTTCTGAATGAAGGTCTTTCCAAAAGCCATACTTTCGTTTTCGTTTTCCCTGGAGTGGAATTTCTGGTTAGCATGGAGCCCTTTGTTCCTTTGTTTTTTGGTCGGCCTTTCTTCTTGGACTGGGATGTCATGGGAGCCCCCTCCTTGGCAAGGAATTGGTTTATCCCTCCTCTTGACCCTGCTGTTTCCCTCCTTCCTCTCAATTCCTTCTAGATTCCTGAAGTTTCCTGCAGACTCTTCCTTTTTAGAATTATCCAATGCTGGTACCTGGAATTCCTCGGCCGTCTCACCTATACTTCCTGCTGGAATAAAGAGAGAGAGACTATCAGCAGCCATGCAAACAAAAACAAGTCTCAGATTCATCACTCCTGCCTCCTGGGGTGTATTTCAATTACTCCCTCAAAATCACTTTCATCTCCAAACTAAGTCACTGGACACACTTTTTACCAGGCCTGGCCCTGCAGTGGGAACTTTTAAATCACCTGCGTTTCCCTCCCTTCCTCAAAACTCCCCATATGTACACTTTAAGGGAAAAGGGGGGTGAAGATCCATTCCCCTATTTGTATTTCACTTGCTGTGAACGCCTTTTGATTTTCTGCTTCACATAAAATTCAGAGAGTTTCGGGGATAGGCGTTCCACCGGGCGTGAGTAGTTGGTTTTTAGCCTCTGAAAATTAGGGGAGAAGCCAGGACCTCATCGAGTGACCCAGACAGTCCAAAGGGGACCTCCCAGGTTTTTTGAAGGAAATCTAGATATTGGGGAGCGGCAAAGAACAGGGAAGGTCGGATGACGTCTAGCTGACTACTGTGGTGCTAGTAGGAAGTGCTGCCAAGTCACAGCCGATTTATGGTTTTCAAGGCAAGAAATGTTCAGATGTGCCATTCCCTGCCTCTGCCTCGCAACCCTGGGCTTCCTTAGCTGTCTCCCATCCAAGTACTAACCACTTAGCTTTCAAGATCTGGCCAGCGTGGGTTATCCATGTGAGGGCCTGACCACTGCAGACAAGAGTCAGTGGGACTTGGCCTTGTCCAGCAGGCCTCTTGTTAGGTCACCTTCCTAGAATATCCAGAATAGGTCACTCTTCCTAGAATATGCAGTCCTCAGAAGAATCTAAGGACAGAGAAGACCTTGAAAAGACAGAAGGAACCCCTGCTGAGCTCAGCCCCAGAAGGAGCTTCCAGGTATCTTGGATTTTAGGCCCCAGAAGGTCTCCCTCCCACCTTACCCAGTGGGCCGGCCTCCTCTTCCTCAACAGCCATCGAAAGCTTCCTCTCAGATGGAGCCTCGCCTGCCTCAGAGACGCTCCCATCCGCCTCCTCCCAGGGCACCTGCAACAGCAGAGAGGGCACCTTTCAGGGCAGAGCCAGAGAGCCGGAGAGGGTGGAGATGAAGAGAGGGGAGGGCTCGGTCTCCTACCCAGGATGTAGAGCAGTGGTGGCGAACCTATGGCATGGGTGTCAGAGGTGGCACTCAGAGCCTTCTCTGTGGGCACGCGTGCCATCGCCCCAGCCAGGCCCAGACCACCATTAAAGTGTCGAATTCTCTGCCAAATAATTTTAAGTACATGACAGCATTTGGGATTGCTTTCCTTACTTTGTTTGGATCATCTTAAGTTAATGTATGAGTTGTTTTTTCTAAAGTAAAACCTCAGCATTCAGGTTAAATTGCTGTGTTGGCACTTTGCGATAAACAAGTGGGTTTTGGGTCGCAGTTTGGGCACTCGGTCTCTAAAAGGTTCGCCATCACTGATGTAGAGGATTCACTGTGCAGAAGGGAAAAACCAGGACAGACTTTCATTAAGGAACATTACAAAACCAGCTTGAAGGAGCCTGCTGACAGCTGAGCCAGGGAGGAAGAAGAACTTAGCAGGCCGCATTGGAGATACTGCAATTGATTCCACACTTGAAAAGGTGCAAGGGGGGGAAACAAGAGCTCCTGGCCCCGCCACACGGCAGGGATCGTGCCCTGGCAGCACTTTTGGGCAGCCTGAGTCCAGTTCTCAAATGGTGATAGTGTCTGGGATTCAGACCTGTGGAAGTTCTTTTCTCCCTTTCTCACAATACAAGAATGTGTGGGCATGCAATGGAATTAATAAGCAGTAGATTTAGAAAAGATAAAAGGAAGTACTTCTTCGCAAAAAGAATCATGAACACATGGAATTCACTGCTGCAGGAAGTGGTGGTGGCCACAAGCACGGACGGCTTTAAGAGGGGATTGGATAAACATATGGAGCAGAGGTCCATCAGTGGCTATTAGCCACAAGGGATAGAGGGAACACTCTGTCTGAGGCAGTGATGTTCTGTATTCTTGGTGCTTGAGGGGCAAGGGTGGGAGGGCTTCTGGAGTTCTGGCCCTGCTGGTGGACCTCCTGATGACACCTGGGTTTTGGCCACTGTGTGACACAGAGTCTTTGGACTGGATGGGCCATTGGCCTGATCCAACATGGCTTCTCTTATGTTCCCACAGTCTCAGTGTTCTGTCTAAGCTGAGTTAGTGTTCCTAGGGCAAGGCCACCAAGAAGGCCCCAGACATACTGGCAGCTACCAAAAGGCAGGATCTTGGAGGGGATCTTCAGGATTCTCATGGTCAACACCTGCAGATGGTGTTCCAGGCCACACCTGTCACCTGTGGAGATGGCAAGGGGGCAGGAATCTAGTGTACCCACAAACCCCCTGTTCTTTCAGGGGGAGATTGTGATAGACGGCCTCTAGTTCTACCCTCCAGGCATCCCAGCCAGTCACTGCTTAGGGGAGTAGGCAGACACTAAATGGCATCACCAATAAGAGGCTGTGGAACCTCTGGGAGAGTTAAATGGAGGGAAAGTCTGTCTTCACCTCAGATAGGGCTTGGGGAAGTGACAGAAAAACAGGGGAAACAACAAAGAGATTAACATCCTGGAGATTAGTTAGGTAGCTGGGCTTCCGTTGGTGAAGGAAAAGGGCTCAGATACCTATAGTATAGGTACTTAGGAATCAGGGGCTGATAGAGAGGCAGGAGTCCTGTGTTACCTTAGGGAAATATTGCATTAGTGACTTGTGAGGGGACTGAAAGAAATATCCCAAGAGACAAGCTGACCCTGAGAACATAAGAACAGCCTGCTGGATCAGACCAATGATCCATCTAGTCCAGCCTCCTGTCTCTCACACAGTGGCTAACCAGTTCCCCTGGAGGGCCAACAACAGGGCAGAGAGGCAGAGGGCTTCCCCAAGATGCTGCCTCCTGGCTCTGGGATTCAGAGGTTTATTGCCTCTGAATGTGGAGGTTCCCCTCAGCCACCGTGGCTAGTAGCCACAGACTTATTCCTGTAGCCATCACGACACCCTCTGGCAGTGAATTCCACATTTTAATCACTCTCTGTGTGAAGCAGTATTTCCTTTCATCCTTTTTGACCTGTTTCAATTTTCTGAAGTTCGACATGCTGAAATTCTTGAGTTTAAGGAGACGTTCCAAGTGAAATAATTTTCTCTCTCCCTCTGACAGCAATACCCTGTAAGCTCAGTAAAGCTGTGAGTGTTGTGAAAGTGTAACGGTTTAAAGCAGAGTTCTGCTTCCCTCGCTGTAGAGAACCCCAGGTCATGACATTCCTAGTCTCATCCACCACTAAGCACTGAGCCCTTCTAAAGGAGAGACCATAAATGTATCTTTTTCCATTGTGAAAGGAAGGTATTGGTGTGGATCACTCCAGAAGAAAGGGTGGTGAGAAGCAGGGGTCGTTTCCTGCAGGAGCGCACAGGAGTGGAGCTCCGGCAGTAAAGATCCCAGGGGGCGGGCACATGAAACGAGCCTCACCCCCTGCTCCCAGCAGCCCTCAGTCAGAGCAAGAAGCAGCCAGGTAAGTTGCAGAGCTCCCCCTGGCCCCCCGGTCCAAAACAGTCCAGTAGCACTTTTAAGACCAAGTTTTATTCAGGCACAAACTCTCCCTCCGGAGTATTGGCCCCACTGGCGGACTTCCTAATGGCACCTAAGTTTTGGCCACTGTGTGACACAGAGTGTGGGACTGGATGGGCCACTGGCCTGATCCAACATGGCTTCTTTTATGTCCTTATGCAGTAACAACTATTTGCCGCAGAGTAAACGCCTAGGGCAATGCCACCAAGAAGGCCCCAGACATACTAAAAAGGTAAAGGTAAAGGTTCCCTTGCTCGAAAGCCAGTCGAGTCCGACTCTAGGGTTGCGGTGCTCATCACACTTCTGGTGATGTCAGGGGGTGTGGCATATGCAAATAAATTGTGCTAATGAGTTATGCTAATGAGCTCCTGCGCCTCTTTTTCTACGAAATGACCCCTGGTGGGAAGAAGTAGAAAGTACCTCAGATTCCCCTTCCACCACCCCAGGCTTCCTTTATAATAGGAGCTCATAATTCCAGCACAGTTATTCACTAAAACTGTCTCACTGACCACTCACAACCCATGCCATACCGAAAATCTACTCGGTCAGTGGTACTGGAAGATGTGACAGTGAGGGTGGTGAGCCGAGAAAGCACCGAACTGTCACAGAGGGCCAACCCTTCAAGGCTGACCAAATATTCCTTCCCAGATTGAGAGAGAATTCCTCCCCACCCCAAAACCATGGATTCAGGTGGAAACAAGGCAACAAGGCCTCCCATCACACCCTGGGAGTCCCCTTCTCTCTCTCCCCATGCCAATATGGACAGAGATCGCGGCCCCTCCTCAACCACAGGCCCTCCCGCGGTCAGGACCCACACAGCAGAAGGGCCTCACCTGCTTCTCCTGCCTCAACAGGAACTCTTCGGCCAGGGCCACAGCCTGAGAACAGCTCTCAGGGCCGCTCTCCCTCACCTGGCTCTGGATCTCCGGGGGCAGGACGCTCAGCAGCTGTTCTAGGACCAAGAGCTCCAGGATCTGCTCCTTGCTGCGATTCTCCACTCTCAGCCACCCACGGCACATTTCCTGCAGTCGGCTGTAAGCCCCCCGGGGCCCCTCAGCCTCCTGGTAGCAGAAATGCCTGAACTGCTGGCGCTGCTTCTCCCGGCTCAGGGCTTCTGCTTGCAAGATGGCCGCCTTCACCTTCCCATAATCCTCTCTGTCTCTCATATCCAGACTGCTAAAGGCCCATTTTGCTACTCCGCTGAGGGCCGGCAGGAGTCGGGTCGCCCACTCTTCCTGGGGCCACTGACAGGCCTCGGCCACTTGCTCAAAGGCAGCCAAAAAGGTCTTGGCATCATCCCAGGGTGACAGTTTCTCTGGTAAGGGGGAGATTCCCCATGGAGAGTGAGAGGACTCCAGAGTCCTGAGGAATTTCTGCCACTGGACTTCCCACTCCTCAAGGGAAAGGGATCCCTCCCCTGCGGGATTCATTGGATGCTCTGTTCTCCTTTTCAGGATTTCACTGATACTCCCAGCCTGGAGAATATGAGGGGCTACTCCTCTCCCTTCCGATACGTCCCCTAATTTAGGACTTATGGGAATCTCTTTCTCCATTTCTGGCTCTGAATAATCACTCAGAGTTGGTGCTCCATGACTGAAAACTTTAGAACATGTTCTCGTCTTCCACACTGAGCTTCTCCCTGGAGAAAAGAAAAATATGGGGAAGAGACAGAAGAGACACAACTTGATCAATCAGCCTATGATTTAATGGCCCCAGCATGGTTTTTCTAACCAGATACACTAATTATATGCAAAAAGAAGAAGAGACTGGATTTATACCCTGCCCTTCACTCGGAATCTCAGAGCAGTTTACAATCACCTTTCCCTTCCCCTCCCCACAACAGACACTCTGTGAGGAAGGTGGGGCTGAGAGAGCTCTTTTGAGGACTGCTCTTGAGAGAACAGCTCTGAGAGAACTTGTGACTGACCCAAGGTCACACCAACAGCTGCATGTGGAGGAGTGGGGAATCAAACCCAGTTCTCCCAATTTAGAGTCTGCACTCCTAACCACTACAGCAAACTGGGTCTCCAAAGGTATCACTACGATTTTATGTCTTCTTCTTCATTAAATCCATACATTAAGATTCTAATTACGAGGTAGCAGATTTCTATTCCATCACAGAAAAGTCCTTCTAAAAATTCCTTCGTACAGTTTGTGAACTATTAGGAAGGCTGTTCCACCAAAGACGCCAGAGAGAACATGCAAGCTTATCCAGCTGCAAGATGGCATCTGGCCCCACAGCTGGACCTCCTGGTGGGGCACCTGGTGTTTTTGGTCACCGTGTGACACAGAGTGTTGGACTGGCTGGGCCATTGGCCTGATACAACACTGGCTTCTCTTCTGTTCTTATCTTCAAAGAGCTCTGCTTTGATTAGCAGACCTGGCAGAGAGGGGTCACGGCTTGGTGGCAGAGCACCCGCTTTGCGTGTAGAAGGTCCCTGGTTCAATCCCCAGCATCTCCAGCTAAAGGGATGAGGCAGGAAGTGATGTGAAAACCTCTGCTTGAGACCCTGGAGAGCTTAGTCAGAGTAGACAAGACTGATCTCGATAGACTCCACAGAAGGCACCTTCAGACATGCAGTGTAATGGGACAGGCTGTCCCGAAGAGTTGTGGGTACCAGACCACCAAGAGCCTTCCTAGTGATAACCATCCCCTTGAACTGCTGGAAGCCAATGAGGAGCCAACGAAGCACTTACTAAAGAGGTTCATGTTGCCTGACTCCTGCGAGTAACTGAGCTATAGTGTTCTGCGATGTCTGAATATCCCAAGTTGTCTTCAAGGCCCGTCCCCTGTGGAGAGCCATCCAGTAGTCTAGCCTCAAGGTAGCACCCAGCTATGCTATCTTGGTTGGTTTGGGAACAGATGCCAAGGAGAGCACCAAGGATCTCTTCCGTGCAAAGGATCAGCTCTGCCGCTGAGCTATGGCTTCTTTCCCATCACAGATAACCCTCCCTTCCCGTACATGCACAGGAATGGAGTTCCGGCTGGCTCCAGAGTTGACCACACCCACTACAGCCAAAACCTCTGTGTGTGTGGCTACAGAGGGAAGGCCTGGAGAGCGACACACACCCCGCGACTCTGAGGTGGGGGGGCCAGGGGGCCCCTGAAAGGTTCTGCCTCCCCATGCCTTCCCCGGCCTGTCCAAGGACCGGCTTGCCCAGGCTCCCTGCAGCTGTGGTGCCTCGGGCAAGCCAAGGGAAGGCAATTTAAACTGCCTTCCTTTCCCTTCAGGGGGGGGGGCTTGCCCGGGCTCCCAAGGGAAGGCATGGGTGTGTGGCCTAATATGCTAATGAGCTGTGCTGTCAGGGGTGCGGCCTAATATGATAATGAGTTCCTGCTGTTGGGTGTGGCCTGTTATGCTAATAAGTGCCTGCTGGGCTTTTCCTACGGAAAAAAGCCCTGCATGTGCCCATTGCCTTTCATCTCTCTGCAAGACAGTGCAAGGTACTCTGTTCACACACTCAGAGGCAAGAGCCAGATAAGATTCTGGAAGGGGGGTGGTGGAGATCATGATGGTCCCTCAGGAATCCCCTACTATGCAACCCCGCCAAGCCAAGTGTCTCTTCCTGTCACGTGTGGGTGACAACGCAGGCTAGCAGCTTAGGGAGTCCCATGCTTCTATCTGGGACTTTACCTTAAAGCCTTTAAGGTGGGTCTCATCTCATCTCCTGCACCCGAGCTGCATCTGCACACCTCCTCCTGCTGTGAAGCAATCCCACCGACACTAAGAAGGAAAAGATTCTTTTGAGACAGGACAATCCCTTCCCCTCCCCAGGGCTCCCGGTGGGATCCAGCTTGCTTGGAGGGGAGAAGCACAGTCCTCTCTCTGGGGGGGGGGCGGGGAGTCTCCATGGGGCCATCTCCCCACCCCCCCTGCAGCCTTCTTCAGCCATTCCAGATTCTGCATTGATCCCCACACGCGTTTTTACTGGAGCTGCAAACCAATCCAGCCTGCTCCGCTCCTGTGCTTTTAAAAAGAGGTTTGATCTGTAGGGATCCGCGGGGCGATCTGTGCTCGGATCGGAGGGAAACCCGATCCCCCTCCCCGCAGATCGATCTTCAGCCCCAGGGGTCAGATCCAGAGCTGGCAACCCACCCTGGGGGCAGAGAAGGTGCCCCCCTGACCTCCCCCTTCCCGGCCCTGTTCTGCACGTGGGGCCCAGGGAGACCCCCTCACAGGGCTGCTCATCCCGGAGGCGACTCTCCCCCTTCCCCGCCCCACAGACCTTTCCCCTTCCAGGTATCGTCCTGCGAGAAAAGCCGGTGCCAAAACCCGAGGAGGAGGAGAAAGGAAGACGCACTCAGTGTTTCTTTCCTCCCTTTGCCCCTCTCTAGGCAACGCAGCTCTGTCACCTTCTTAACTCTTTACTAGCTACGGGAGTAAAAGGGGGAAAAAATCCTCTGTAATTTAAGAAATTAGTTTTTCTATTTAAATAAAGGAAGCAAATTCAACATACCCATTTTAAACAAGCTCCTGGCCAGGGAAGTTTGCTCTGTAACCTCAGGAATGGAGACTGACAGCTGCCACTCACAAGTTCTGATAGGGCTGCCAACCTCCAGGTGATGTCTGGAGATTTGCTATTATAAAGCCGCCCTGAGCCTGCTTTGGTGGGGAGAGTGGGGTATAAATTGAATGAATGAATGAATGAATGAATGAATGAATGAATGAGTAACTGATCTCCAGTTGACAGAGATCAGTTCCACCTTGAGAAAATGGCTGTTTCAGAAAGCTGGACTCTATGGCACTGTACCCTATTGAAGTCCCTCTCCTCCCCAAACGCTGCCCTTTTCAGGCTCCGCCCACCCACAAAACCTCCAGGTAAATCTCAACCCAGAGCTGGCAACCCTAAGTTCAGAGGAGGCCAGAAAAATTCCCCAAAAAGCTCACTCCACAGAATTTGTAAAGAATAACTGTAGAGACGGTTGCCTACCATCTATGAAATCCAGTCGGTTTCAATTGCTTCATTCCTTTATATTCTACTCTTTATTGATTGCCCTGTTTCCCCCAATTTGGCAGCTCAGCTTTTATTTTCATAAGAACATAAGAGAAGACAATGTTGGGTCAGGCCAATGGCTCTTCCAGTCCAACACTCTGTCACACAGAGGCCAAAACTAACAGGTGCCATCAGGAGGTCCAGCAGTGGGGCCAGGACACTAGAAGCCTTCCCACTGTTGCCCCCCCTCCAAGCACCAAGAATACAGAGCATCACTTGCCCCAGCCTGAGAGATCCTATCTATACCTGGTGGCTAATAGCCACCAATGGACCCCTGCTCCATATGCTTATCTAATTCTGTCTTGAAGCCGTCCATGCTTGTAGCCGCCGCCACCTCCTGTGGCAGTGAATTCCATGTGTTAATCACTCTTTGGGTGAAGAAGTACTTCCTTTTATCTGTTCTAACCCGACCGCTCAGCAATTTCATGGAGTGCCCACGAGTTCTTGTATTGTGAGAAAGGGAGAAAAGTACCTCTTTCTCTACCTGCTCTTTCCCATGCATAATCTTATAAACCTCAATCATGTCACCCCTCAGTCGTCGTTTCTCCAAGCTAAAGAGCCCTAAGCGCCTTAACCGTTCCTCATAGGGAAAGTGTTCCAACCCCTTTATCATTCGAGTTGCCCTTTTCTGCACTTTTCCCAAAGCTATAATATCCTTTTTAAGGTGTGGTGACCAGAACTGCACACAGTATTCCAAATGAGGTCGCACCATTGATATATATAGGAGCATTATGATATTTTCCTTGTATTATAATCTTAGTGTCTAATTTTCTAACTCAGTCTAATTCACTGTTGGATGTGTGTAGTTCTTCCTGCATTGTTTTATATCATGACATTCCCCTTGACTTGAAATCACAAAGGTCGACTATGAATTGGTACTTACCTTACAACTTGTAGGGTTGCCCACTAAGGCCTGGGAAATTCCTGGAGATTTGGGAGCGAGGCCTGTGGAGGGATTTTAGAATCTGCGGCATACCATCAAATCCACCCTTCAAAGCTGCCAGGCCAGCCCGATCTCGTCAGATCTCAGAAGCTAAGCAGGGTCGGCCTAGGTTGCAATGTGAACCTTAAGGGAGTTATGGGATGGTTGTGAATGGTTGTGTGAGTGCATATGTGTATGGCTGTAGATCACTGTAATGATTGCACCTTTAATTTCGTTGTACTGTGTACAATGACAATAAAGTATATTATTATTATTATATTACACACACTGCCTTATTATTATTAGCCATTTTTTCCCCAGGGGAACGGATCTGATGTCTGGAGAGCAATTATAATTCTGGGAGAACTCCAGGCCCCATCTGGAGGGTGGCAACCCTAGGAATTGTGCAGAGCCACATTTGCAATTACCATCGACCAAAACAACCATTGACTACCCCACCAAACAAACATATACGTATAATACAAATGTATCAAGATCGGTAGCCGTGTAAATTCTGCCTGTAGCAGTAGAAAAGGGCAAGCGTCCAGGAGCACCTTAAATATCTGAAAAAGTGAGCAGTTCCTGACAAAAGCTCATCCCCTTCCACATATTTTGTTAGTCTTTAAGGTGCTACGGGACTCTTCCTCTTTTCTACTAATATCAGTGTGTGTGTGTGTTAAATGCCATCAAGTCGATTCCAATTTATGGCAGCCCTATGAATT